GGTTATCTGTGTATTTTTGGTCACTGCATGTATAGCTTATTCTTCCTTTCTGGCATGTTGTGACATTAAAGTAAAAAGATGCTCACTCTTATGGCTTTCACAGAGTTTTCCATGGGCTGAGCATTTTTTCTTCTTTTTTGAAGGCTTTCTTCTGTTTTTGAAGGTTATGCTGCTTATGACTGTAGATATCTAAGATCTCTATTCTCGAGTCTGGTCATCCTTCTTAAGTTCTTTTGGTTGACTCTGGATATTTATTCTTCACTAATGGATGTTTTTATTTTACTCCTTCCTCTGGATACATCCTCTTGAGCTGCTCTTTCTATTGGAAAACATTTTTCAGGGCCTAAGTTCTGTTCCATAGCCAACACTGTCTTTAAGTAGGGAATCTTAATATCTTCAAAACTATTTGTGCCTTTAGCTCTCTAATGTTAATGTCTAGTCTCACTTTAGTTTTTAGATTTTGGTTAAAGTAGTCCCAAACTTCACCCTATTACTTGAAGAAACATGACTACAAAAAAGCCCGGCTTGTCTGTACAGTTTTAGTTTTTCTTGGGCCATACTGTGCCCACTGGGCCTCTGTCACTAATTCCAGTCTTCCCAACATTCTTTCTAGCAATGCTGACTCACCCTTTCCTCATCTTTTTTGCTTCAAAAAGGCCATATAAAAAACCTCTAATTTTTTTTCACTTTCATGGTGAGCTCTATCCACACACTCAGTTGCCATATTTGTGTAAGCTCTTCTTTGCTGAAAATTCAGGTCTTGTGGTGCTCTGATACTCCCTTACTGTTCTTTTTTGGGTCTATCTCCTAATGAGTCATTATCTCTTCCCCAAACTTTTGTTAGACTGTTGCCACCATGTTTCATATTGTACATTTTGGCAATGGTAGTAGGCAGAAAGGGACTTCTAAAGCTGAACTGTGAGAACTCTTCACACGAGTGTTGCAGATCCAGCTGGCATCCAAGTCACGTGCCAACATTCCTCTTCCAAATGCTTTTCTGCTTCAGCCTTTGTCCTTCTCCATCTATGTAGCTTGCTATAGCTAGATCCCTTTAGTAAAAATCCTTTGTACTCAACTTTCAGATGCTTTATTGCAGGGGAATGCAGTTGCTACAGCTATCAATCCTTGGTTTTCCATAATGCTAGCTCTAGTACATCAATAAGTGTCTTCAAAATTAGACTCAAGCTTTATAATGGGCATTGGAAGAGCCAGACACACGGCACAGAGTGGAAATGCTTCTGGGAATTAGATCTGAGAAGAAAATAGGAAGCAGCATATTGTAGCAAGAGGATTTTATGCTTTGTCTTCTGATTTCGTTTACAGTGAAGCATGGTAATCCAGTCTGTAGGTGCCTGATACATTGACCATACTGGCCAGATTCTCATATGGGGAGGAGGGACAAGATAGAGGAGATATAATACATTTTTGGAAGCATATGCTACCAAAAGCATATGCATCCAAGTTTTCTGAGGAGTGAAAGAGGACCTAGAATTTCCATCCAACTGCGGAAAGAATGGCTGTTTCCCATCATGAAAAGGTGGAGGTCTTCAATGTGTTTGCCTTTGCAAAGAAGCATCACTTTGGTCTTGTCTGGATTCAGTTTGATCCATCTGTTCTTCATTTAAGAGCTAATTTCCTGTAGTTATTCTGATGTTTTATAGTGATGATAGTTGCATCAGAAAATGAGATAAATAGTAGATTGTCAGCAACATACTGTTAGCAATTGAACACATGCCATATCACTCTCTCTCTCAGCAGTCTCATGTAGATGGATGTAGATTGTATGGATCCCTGTGGGATCCTGAAGGTGAGGACCTTGGAGGAAGAGGCTCGTATCCACCACCTTTTTTTGAATAACATGTAGAACACAAGATGCAGTACTACTGTGTGGCTGGGACTGTGTAACAGAGGATTCAGGTGTCTGAGAACATGAATCTGGAGACTGCAATTCCATGGTTGGTAGAAGTTTTATAAATTCCTCCAGGAAATTGTCAGAATTTCCATCTGTAATTTGTGTACCACTAGGAGCTCTGGTTCCTCTAGTCCTTTGCCTCAACAGCGCATATGGATACACTCAAACAGTTTCATTTCTTGGTGGAACATCTTCTGCATCTGACATTGAGACCACAGGACATTTCCTCCATGTTTTCCTTGCTTTTTTTTTTTTTTTTTTTAAAACTTCTGGTATTTATCTTGGCCTATTACTATTGGTGTTCTGGCATCTATCCTGGCTCTTCTGAAGGGTAGCTGTGCTAGGATAGGGTTGAGATGGTATTGAATCATGCCTCAGCAATGCGAAAATGTCCAGGTGTTTCATCTGCAAGGAGAGCACAGATGTGTTCTTTTTCTAAGGGGAAACTGCATTTGGCAACAAGAACTTGAGATAGTTTTCTACTTATCCTTTGTTTAATGATATTACTGTCTAAGCAATTGGCTGCAAATACCAGCTTGTGGTGTTTATTCTAATGTGTGGTATTCTGGGAGGGTCACTCCTCACCATAATGATACCAAGGACTTAGAAAAGTAACACATAATGGCATGCAAGGTTTTGGGCAGCCTGGTTTGCCTGGTATTTTTTTAGATTCCCATGACATAGAATCATTGTACAGTGTAGTCTCTATGATTTGAATGCTTGGCCTTTACACAGATAGTAACAGCAGGCGAGTAGTGTTGGAGTGACAGTCTGTGGTCTGAATACTGGGGTGGTGCTTTGTCCAATTTTTTAAAACTCTTCACTGACATGAGAAAGCAGCAGACTGTTACAGGGTGGCATACACCAGAGATGGGACAGTAATAGAAGGATTGCAGAGCTATGGGTTGTCCGGCAAAAAGGGAGGCAAAAGTGCTGGTAGGTTCAAAAACGAAACAGACCTCCTCATATCCCAAAGGCTGTGAACAACTTATGTACTTAGTTTTGATTAATTTTCATTTCTGGAGGCAACACTTTCTGCACCTGCCACTGAGACCACAGGACCCTTCCTTTTCTTATAATCAAATAGTCAAGGGGAATGTGTATGTCAGGATGAGTTTTTTCAGGGCTATTGATAATATGTCATGCTACTGTAGTAGTTAAATATGAAGATTAATTGACATCCTTTGTTTCTGATGTTTTGTATGACATAATGATAATTTGGTAGGACTCAATTATGGAGACAGATGATTTGCATGTCAAGTCAAGGTGTCTGGATAGAAATTCTGAGGATAACCACGGGAAAGATTACTGGTTTCAAAATACGTGGATGAGCCTTACCTGTCAAATAGGCCAAAGCAAATCCCTATATTCAGATGCTTTCACTGCAGGCAGGATATTTGAAAAGCAAATATTATAGGAGAGGCCTATCTCTATTAAAGTCAAAATTTGAAGAAATGACCTCATTAAGAAGTACTTTCGCATTACAAAACATTAATTATACTTGGCCAATCTCTGTCTGCTATGGACTGGAAACAGTGTAGTCAGCACAGTTCTAATGTCAGTGTTTACTTTTCATGTGTTATATATAGATGGATACATATATGTTGTCTGCATTGCCGAAAAAACTAAGCCTCTTCAATCAAGAAATTTGTTGTTTATCAAGTGCAAAAAATTTGAGTGTAGAACTGGCATAAATTAATTTGTCTGTTCTGCAGGTTTAACGGTGGCTGTTCAAAGATTCATCCTATTTCATTTATTTCAGTGATTTATCAAGTTTATACTTCTGCCCCTGACTTTTACCTGAAAGCATTTCAGTGTACTAAGCTGTGATATGCTCAGGTTGTGGTACGGTTCCTTTTTAAAGACTGTTAGACTGTCACGACTTACATCAATATTATAGAGCAAGATATTGTTGCTGAAGCTGGGTGAACAATTTGTTATTAATATAATTCATTAAGGATGAGTCTTTAGGTTTAGATGGAGTATGGGGTAATGTGTGAATGAATATGTTGCCTCCTTCACTGGATAAGAGAAGCATTATTCTTCCCTTGCTCTCCTACTTCTCTGCTGATTAACACAAAGGAAGAGAAAAGCCATGAATCCTTCCTCTTTTCCTCCAGGCAGGTAGGTCAGGAAGAAACTCTTGCTTTGCTCTCTTTTAATAAATCATTGTCAGAATAGGTTCCGTATGACTACATGAAAGCTGGAGAGCTCATTTCTTATGCCCCCGGGTATCAGCAGACATGCAGATGTGTGCAGAGTGGTGCAGTCCAATGCATGTGCCCTCATTATGCTTAGTAGGATATAGTCAATAATGCCAGTTTTCCTTACCTTTATGTATTCATTAGAAAGTTTGAAGAAACTAACACTGAACTTCACAAACTGCTGTTATATCTAGCTCCCCATAGAAAACCTCTAGTGTTTTGTCAGGGGGGACAGACCATTTAAATCACAAGATTTGTATTTATTTAGCGGTTTTATCTGAATGGTAAACTCTTTCAGTATAAGAAACTTCAAACAGAGGAATAAACACTCACAAGACTCATAGAAGAAGAAAAATTTAAAAATTTGCACCAATTGCCTGAAACCTTCTAAACAATGAAAAATGTAACTTTAAAGATGAAGTGTTTTCCATTAAAAAAAAAATTAATTTGTTCAATTTATTTAGTCATCTATGTAGGCTATCATGTGCACCCCCACGTGTGCATGAACACCCACACATATACACACATGGTAAGTTTGTAGTTGTACAGTTAAAAGAGTTTTGAGGAAAATGTATCCTATTTACTGCTTAGCTATGTGACCAATGCAGAACTGTAATATAAATCTCAGAAATTTCCATCCCATTTTTTTTTTATTACTGAAGAAAGTAGATCAGGATGATAACAGTTGGATGCAAAAAGCAATCATATTTTCAGTATAAAAATAGTGCTATTGTTTAGTAAGCTATACTACTTAAATGTATTTGGGGATTTTTTTTTATTTTTCCTTAAAAATATCTTTTGTTTCCACCCCCCACTAAGAAGGAAGGAATGTTTCCCATTAAGATATGAAGTGAGTTTGTTTTTCACTTTTGCCTTTTATATAGGGATACTGAATATAAAGGACTACAGCTCTCCCTGGATCAGGTCACTGCTACCAAGCCGGCATTCTCATACGCAAATTCAACTCCGACCATAACGGATAATAGAAAGGGAAGCAAATCTCGCCTCTCGAGCACAAAGTCAAAATCAAGGACATCACCATACCCACAGGTAGTTGTCTTTGAAAAACAAAATTAAATCTTTTTTAATATCTTGATTTTGACTGCTATTTTACTGAAGTAATTAGAATGGGCCAAGGAACATGTTACTCAAAGGGAATAAAGGACAACAGGTTATAAGACCTTGAGACAGCAATATGTTTCTTTAAACTGTTTCTAAAAAGCTGGAAACATTTATGTTTCAGCATGCATAATAAATCATCATCAACAACAATAACAGTGCAGGCCTCAGTTAATGAGGAGCGGACAGAAGACAAGTGAAAATGCTGGTTTTGAAATACTTCGTTTGAGAGGATTGTGTGTTTTGCCATTTGAGAAAGCTTGCTTTTTCTTTCTTACTTTTTAATAATTCCAACATAACTAGAAAGCTGCCAGATGTTTGACAGCAGTTTAATACTGAAATCTTAGTCAGGAGGAGTGAGTTTTGAGGAGGGAAAGCAACAAGCTAACTTGCTGAACTGGAACAAGAAAGTTTTCTATGTACAAATCTCTGAAAGGGAGAAAGTGCTAGGAGGTGGCCATTGGCATCAGTAGACTTTAATTTCCCAGATTTCATTTGCAGGCCTAATGTGTAAGGAACATGTCCCCGCCCGGAGACGGGACCTGACTTGATTTGGTCTCTGAACTGGAGCTTACCTAATACATTTACGCAACCGATTTCTGCAGACAATGCCACAGCACTTGCATACTTATGTTGTTAACCCTTTAGCTCAGATAAATCTGTTTGTTGAAATAACCATTATGTTTACTAAACAATGATGCAAGTCTTACTGCCCTCATGCCACAACACAGTGGATATAAATGTATGCATTCATGATGTAACATTGAAGAGCTATGTATTTTTAAAGAGTCCAGGTCAATATTTAACTGACAATGACCTTGATGACTTCAGTTTCTCTGCAGACACTGTGTTTTCTAAACTGACCTCTAAGAGTGTACGATGTGAGCCCAAGTGTCTACATTACTTCCTTGTTTTCTTTCTTTTTCCCCTCAAAAATACCAAGGGTAAGAATTTCAGTTAAATGACATCTGCTTTTGGCACAGGGAATATTTAACCGAGTGCCTAGATATCAACTCAGATTCTTAATTTTAAGAATCTAATTTTGCCAGAGGTTGTTATGGCTGTTGTTTAATCATTTGTTCATATGTGTTTTTGTGGATTGTTAAAGAAGAGTCTTTCTCTTGAATGCACTACACCAAACAATTGTAATAAAACTGCTTTAAAGAATCGGGAAGGATACCTAGAATTAATTCTAAATTAGATTTTTTAAGATGACTGTCTTTGATTTGCTCAAATTACCCTTCATGTCCCCTTACACAGTCCTTTCAGAAGTCCTCTTGCTAGCAGGACAATCCCAGCTGAAGACCTGTTATCCTCCCACACCAATCGGCTTTCTGAAAGTGTGACTTTCATCAGTACCTCCTTATTCTCTCTGCCACCAGAAAAAATCCTGAACTAGCAGTGCAGCATTGAGACCATTGGTTTATCAGGGATTGTTGTCTGAAAGCTCAGGATGTTTAGTCTCCAGTTTCATTTTGCATCCTCATTACCAGCTGCCTGGTAGTAAAGTCACAGATTTCGTCATTCAAAAAGAAGCAGCCATGCTGGTTGCCAATATCTTGAAAAATGGTCATACCGTTCATTGTAGCACATCACCACAATCAACGCTGGCAGCTTGGCTTTGCATCCCTCTCATCCTTCTCCACCACTGAATAAACTGTTGAAAGACTAAGAAAAGCTGTTGCGAAGAACATGCAGCAGGTGGTATGGCCTGTGTCCCTCAGTCTCCAGCCCACATAATTTGCCAGTCAGTTGCAGAGAATTAGAGTGTGACTCAAAAGCCATGGCTGAAAAGTGAGGTCATGGGTTTTCACTTACCACAGAAGCCTGGGCTTTGGTGGAGGAAGGAAGCAGGAAGTTTACTAGTAAAATAATGGCAGTGGGCAAAGTATTTCTTAAAGTTAAGGGCACCTAGGCGATTTTAAATGTACATACTTTCTTTCCTTTTTTTCCTTTTCCCTTTACTGTTTACTTTGCTTGAAGAGAAAAGGGAATAATATACTTGATTGGGTGCCGACTAAGAATCCTCTTCCTTGCCAGCCGTGTGCCCCTAGGATAGCTACATGAGATGTGAAATGTATGAAAGCCATGTTAATAAATTTCAGCTGAATCATAGAATCGTTTAGGTTGGAAAAGACCTTTAAGATCATCCAGTCCAACCATTAACCTAGAATGTTTACTACTAGGGCAAAAGGTAGACGTTTTGGTCACCTAAGACAACGTTTGGTTGGGTTTTTTTTTTTTTTTCCTCAAATCTTATGCAAAAGCAGACATAGTGTAATTTGGCACTTGTAGACTCTTCAAGCAAAACCTGAGCTCATTAAATTGGAGGCATTGGTCAGCACCTGATTAACACTGACTGATGTTAGTACAGTGGGCTGGTGGGTTCTGTGAAACCAGCCCCAGCCAGGGGGAGGGCAAACAGAGAGAAGAGCAACCCAAAATTCATGACACAGATGTAGGATTTGCCCAGACACTTTGAACAGTGCGCTTCTAGTCCTGTCCTATGAGAGAGGTGGAGAGCTGAAAGAGGAGGTGAAAAAACAGGAGAGATGAAGACTTGATAGAGATTTACAGAAAAAGGAAATTGTGAGTTGGTTAAAAGATGCCTGTAGTCTTCCCCCATAATAATAATAATACTTGTGAGGGGGCTCCCAAAATCTAGTCCCAGACCTCATTTATCTTGTGTTCCCAAAAGCTAGCCCTGGGCCTCATTTATTCTGTACGCACGAAATAGCAACAAGATTGGAAAAACATTTTAATTGTGATCATCTGAACAACTACTTTGGAGTTTAATGTCCCATTAATGATGACTGTTTAAAGAAAATATTTAAAATTATCTGTTGTCTGCCTCTAATGGAAATGTTTTATGATCAGATCTGGATAAACATTTGTTGCTTCATATCTCATCTTAGTTCTTGGATAAAGATTTTATATATATGAAACGAATGCCGCACACATACAAGGAAAGATGTATCTAAGAACTGTTGAATGGAGGCTTTGGTGTGTGTTACAGCATGCATGAATTTTTGGAAGTAAGAGCATTCTCTAGTAGGTGTATATTAATACACCTGATTTTGGAGGTAAATGGATTTTATAGCTCCTTTAAATAGATAATTTGGATTAATTCTGCAAACCACCTTTATTTGGCCATATCACCCAATGGGGTAAAGATAACAGAATCAGGCTGAATTCTAGTCAGCCTTTTGTTTTTGTTTGTTTGTTTGTTTCATTTCTTCCTGTAGCCTAAAGCTTTGGCAACTTCCAGTGTATTCAAAAGCAAAGCAAAACCCTCTTTTTATAGTAAACATAACTCCTGATCTGGTGAAGAGTCACCAGCAGTGGGGGTTATTTTAATGGACATGCTGTATTACTTTAATCTAAGCCTTTCACCATCTGTTCTGCCTATAACAGTGAATGCAAAAAGAACATATTTTACATTTCAGGATTACATTAGTAAAAAGTAAGATAAAAGTGATTTAAAAGCATGCATATGTTCTTAGTACAATGCAGCCCGCATCTGTGATGCTTTTTCTCATGGTTAAGACACAAATCAAGAGGAAAGCTGCTAATGCTGATGTAGTGAAAGTTTTTCATGGAAAAGAGGACTCTGAGAGGCTTTCACTATATATTTAGTGTTTATAATGATAAAAACCTGATAGGCTGCCAGAAAATTAGATATCTATAACATCTATTGTTTGAACATCTGGCACAGTGTGTGGAGCAGGCTAATGTTGCTGCATACGACAGGATGAGTGCTCAGGCCAGTGAGACACCTGTAAGAATGGAAGGTCAGGCAAAAGAAAATTGCCTGAGAAATATTAAATTGTTTACTGGCCTCATATACTTCCATGGGCTCTCATAAAGTAAGCTTTTCTTAGACACATAATTGATATTTTCCTATTTCCTTGCCCCTTCAGACCTCCTGAAGTTTTTCTTGGGAGTGAAAATAGCATCAGTGATGGCCTACGACCCCTTTCTATGCCAGTGCTAATCCTGCTGGAGTGCTCTCACTGTGATGGTACACTGGATTAGCACTCTGGAAGACATTCCTAGCATCTGGAGGTGGCAATTCAGTTTCTAGGAAACAGCTGGAGGACCACTTAATTTATTTATTGTTGTTGTTTATGCCACAGGACAATTCAGAAATCACCTGAAGGAATTTCAGATGTTGCCTGTCTGAAGTTCTTTATCATGTTTAACTTCTGTTTGCTGGTTCAACTTTGTCAAAAAACCCAAAAATAATAAATTCTGCCTGATAGGAGTCAGAAGGCAAAAATTAGCAGGAAGGAAAACATTTGTGGTGAGGCAGGACTGGGATTGAAAAACAATTTTTTTTTCACTAATTTTAATTAGCCATAATTTTCATTAAATCTGATTCCATTTTCTGTGGTCTTTCATCACTTGACATACGGAAGCCTAATTCTGACTTGAGAGATAGTGTTTCCACTCCCATTTCAGGAAAGCAGTATCTTTGATCATCCTTGCGTCTCTCCCCCCGTCAACATGTCACACATGCCCGTATTTGGAGTCTCCACCTGTCAACATCAGATTCCCAGAAGAGGCAGTGGTAGGACTGCAGCGGTAGAGGCAGCCTGATGATGCCAAATAGAGATGTGATTATCTTTCAAGCGAATTAGACATATTTTTGGCCTATGTCTGCTTATGTTGTACCTTAAGAATAAGTGGTCATATCAAACCTTGGTAGACAAAGAGGGCCACCAGCAATTCACTGTGTTAATTTAATCTGTCCATGGCCTAGCAGCTGCTACAGGTCAGATCTCAAACAATCATCTTTTACATCAAGTGCAAAGAATATGCATGAAGTAGTATTGGTCTCAACTACATGGTTATATGACATTACATGGCTCATTTCTGGTATATTGAATATACACTGAATATATACGCTTTGAAATGGTTTCCCTTTCTTTAAGAAAAGTGCATGAAGGCCAGTGCAATTGAATCCTTTGTGTTTAGGTTCAAGATGATAAAAAAAAGATTGAGCAAGTTTTCAGTTAAATGGAGAAATTCCCTTCGAGAGAAGCTATGTTGGACACTGATGTGTCCTTAGAAACAGAGAACTAATAGAAGAACATCTATTAGAGCTAAATGAAATTAAGAATTTTAAGTTTGAAAGACTCTCTGACATTTATTTTCATTGTAAATTGTCAAAAAAATGAAATTTCATTATAATATTATTAGAAATTAATTTGTCCTCCTCATGAAAGAAATGCATACTATGAGTTTTATTTTTAATAAGAAAATAAATGAACTTTTAACTTTTTTATACTTACATTTATTTATTTATACTTACATTTATATTATCTTATATTTCAGCTTAATTTTTTAAGCTGAGAAATCTCATTTATAAAAGTCAAATCCAGAAACAGTGTTAAAAATAATTCTAAAATTAAGAACAGGTACAGAAGTAGTTTTCGTTTTGTGAATTTCCACTTTAACTAAAATTTAATAGTCAAATTCTTGTCAATAATTTCCAATTTTTTAATTGGAATCTTAATTTACCTACATATTTTTGTCAAAAAGTTTACAATAATTCAGCCAATGTTTATGAAGATATCTTTGTGACTAAGCAGTTTGAAGACATTAGATCTGAAAGGATAATAGAAGAGTTAGATGTTCCAGTTGGTCACATAACACTGTGATGGCTGAGTACTGTTCCTAGTTAACGTATGCCAAGTTACCGGCATTTAAAAGAACTCTTTTGTGGCTCTGTAACTATCTTACCCCCATGCAAAATCAGATTTATCCTTTCATTTCTAAAACCTTGCGATATGTTGGTACTAACTTGCTGACTTCCACCGTATCTACTAGTAGGCTTTTTCCCTATGGGTATTCTTCTGACAACTAATAATAAAATATGATTGAGCTCCTCAAAGCCACGACCCTTTCTTTCTTTCCTTTAAATAACCTATCATGTTAACAAACAGTATTCACAAATAAAAACTGCAATACTGAAGAAATACCCAATTAAATGCCAAAACCACTACTGATGTTGCACAGATGGTTTAAGTTTCTGTAAGTCAAACATCTGGTCAGTACTTTCAATTGGTAAGTGCATAAAACCTTGATCCTGGCTGATAATGAGGAGTTTCATAGCAACTCAATCTAATGAAAAGGAAGGTAAGCTTGTGTTTTCAGGAGAGAGGCTTAATGCCTATTAAAAGAAAAGGCAGAGGGGGCATCTGGAAGGTGAGTGATGGAATGGGAGAATTCCAAGGTTTCATGTTGTAATACATTGATTTGTGACATGAGTGTGCAGTACTGAAGAGGTGAGCATGTACAGCTTTGGTCTCATCCCAATCTGTAATCATGGGTGAAATTGATTTAAAGATGTTCCATGAAGCTCAACAGTTTCAATAAATAAAAAAGATTTAAAAATGAGATAGCTAAATCCTAGGAAGTTTAATAAGCTGCTTTTTTTTCTTTTCTTTCCCAAAAAAAGTATCTAAAAGTTTGAAACATTCCTTATGAATATCTAGAAATCTGTGACACTTAACTTAACCCTTACTCCTCTCTAAACAGATGCCCATGCTCCTATTCTCTTTGCTTTTCCGACTGCCTGCTAGCTACTTCTTCCGTGGTGGGAGGGCTCTGCTTAAGTGAGGGTGCCAAATGCCAGCTCTGCCTGCTTTGGCTAGAGGTTGCCTTTTCTGGCAAATAGGTTCTGGGTTTTCCTTATTCCCACATTGCGATAGAGCTGTGATTTTTAGCTTCCTACCAATCTGCCATCACTTTGGAACTTTACTCTGTAGCAGACTTGGTAGTCCCAGGATCTACAGGAGGCTTTCTTTTCCCTACTAATAGGAGAAAAGAAGTTCCAAGATACCACTCCGGGTAAGAAAAAAAATCCAACAGCAAACAAAATATGAGGAAAAAGAGAGGGAATGCTTAGAAAAAGAACTTGCAAACACATTCAGTTTCAATTTGACATGCGAGAAAGCTCTGGGATCTGTGTTATTTCAGTCCCTTTTGAAAGCGTTTTGCCGAGGAGCACTGGGGCACCGTTGCTGAGCATAAGCACTGGCTTTCAAAGCAATAAGAAAAACCTGGACATATTAAAAAAACATTGAATTGTAACATTGATGTTGCTGAGCCTAATATTACACATCATAAAGGAGATGGCTATTACGGGTTGACATGGGATGTTTTAGAGTTTCATGAGGTCTGTCCTGTCATCTGTGAGCTCATTACAGAGTGTTGTACAGGAAAGGACCAGGAGTCCAATCAGAAGGTGCAGACGTGTGGGCACGCTCACAAAAAACACCCTATCACATGCACACTCTGTCTTTTCAGTGCAGTTACTTGCAGATTTCACCCAGGCGTAGTAATTTCCCCTCTGCTTCTCCTGTTTCGCAGTATTCTGGATTTCACACGGAGAGATCCGAGTCTGACCATGAGAGCCAGTGGGGCGGGAGCCCCCTGACCGACACAGCTTCTCCCCAGCTACTGGAGCCCGCGGACAGACCGAGCTCCCAGCACCACGATGTCTCCTGTGCCTACAGACAGTACTCAGACCGCAGTGCTCTCTGCTACGGTTTTGCACTCGACCACCCCAGGCTGACCGATGACAGACATTTCCATACTCAGGCCTGCGAAGGAGGCAGGTGTGAAGCTGGCAGATATTTCCTTGGCACGCCGCAGCCGGGAAGGGAGAGCTGGTGGGGTTCTCGGTCAGCATTGCCCCTGACTAAGTCATCCCCTGAGAGCAGAGAAGCGTATGAAAACAGTATGCCCCACATAACGTCAGTGCACAGGATTCATGGTAAGAGATAAGAAGGATTTGCAGAAGTGGCACCATCTCAGATAAAGCAACATGGCATAAACATGCAGCTGTTTGTGTGAGAGACAGAAAATGAGAGAGACTCTTGGTGTATGTCCTTGTCTCGGAGATTGCATCTATGGAGATGAGGAATACTTAAAATTCAAGTTGAGTTTGACAGTCTAGCTTATATGCAGCGAAATATAATTTTGCTGTATATTTTTTAATCTGTGAAATTAAGGTGGAAATATCTGACTGGTGAGATTTTAAGGATGATCTTAAAAATACAAACAAAATTATGCACTTGATAGTAATGTGTTATTTATTTGACCTAAGTTCAAACTACTTTGGATGGAATATATTTAGCAAAAAATTAGAGCTAAATCCAAGCTAGATATTAAAAAAATCTTAGAAGTCTTTTGAGAAATTGTTCTCCAAATGACTTTTTTCTCTGCACTGGTTATTATTAGATTCTGTAAGATTTGCTGTTTATTTTTATTTAAAATTGGCACTTCAGATTAACATTTGCTTCTGGTTTCAGACATTTATCCCCAGCTACAATTTTTAGCCAATTTGAGTCTCTCCATCCTTTCAGCACCAAGCCTGAAGTCTTGCTTGGTGTCTGGCAGGTTGCAAACTCAGTGCATTAGCACATCTTCAGAGGCTGAAGCTAATAAAAAAATTACAGTGAAAGGCTGATCTGGGGTTTGGAAAAATCCAAACGTCCTTGGGTTTAAAGGGTAGGCAGAGAGTTGAAAGACTGCAACTGACCCAAAAGTCAGAGTTCAATGTTGTAAGGATAGATGCAGCATAAAAAAAAATGCTTTTCTACTAAAATAACCTGTCAAAACATAGGTTGTATTTAAAGAACTCATAAAAGCTAATTACATTAGTACTATTCCATTGACTTGTTGAATGAGGCTTTGGAAATCAAAAAGCACTGTACTGTTTTACTCCAGTCTGAGGAAAATTATGTTGAGAATAGAAAAATGAATGAATAGCAAGTTCTAGGAAATACAGTCAGAGGAAAAATGGGGAAAGAAAAGGAGACCTAAATTTTGCTGATGAGGACTGTTCTCCACTTTTCCTGTGAGAACACACCTTCCTTGTGTCTGTTCTGCACTTCTGTCATACTTGTCTTTCTCTAGCTTTTTCTTCTCCAAAAGAGAGAACTGAATGAAGTATGATTATTTTGCTGCCAAATTTTATGCATGATAATTCTTGCTGAGTATTGAAAGATAGTAATGTAAAAATATCATATGGAGGTACAAATACAAAAGTGTTAGATATTTATTCCACAGCTTTATCAAGCATAATCAATGCAAATGGATAATACAATTTGATTTTAGTTTGTTCCTTGGTTTTGCTGTAATTCCAGGTGCTGCAATTATTTTCTTTATTGTATCAAGTCTTGCATGTTTCAGTAGGCCTTCAGTCTGCATGTAGCTTTGGGGGTAAAACCTGACATGTTGGTCTTAGTTGAGGAGAGGAACATCTCAGCTTCCCTTGGAAATGTGCCATTTTCATTTAGATTTAGGCAGTTTTAAACCTTGGCCTTTCACAAATGAAACCCTTTTTGGTAATACTATGTGAACATTGCTGTCAGAGCAGTTTCTTTGGTCAGAAAATATTTTCTTCCTTTTCTGTTCTTTTAACGTATCTTCTGGTAGTTCTGGCTCGGAGTCACCTTACAATAAGGACAATTAGTTGACCAGTATGGCAGACCCTGGATATTGCGTATGAGCCCATGCGTTTCTGGTCACACTCAGGAAGTGGGACACTGCAGATATGGTCTGTGCAGTGAGACAAACTGAGCACGTGGTTTACAGCCATGGCCAGCCTGCTAGCCAGTGTGTCACGGTGTGCCAGGCATACCGTGTGCGCTGGTGGCTGGAGCTCCTTTCCACCTCCAGGCCCTGGCATTTTGGGTCCAGACCTTAAGAGGATGTGGAGGATAAATTTATGCTTATGAGATACTCCATAGTGCAGTACTGCCACCTACAAATGACAGGATGTCATTTGTTTATTATAAATGTTTATTATAAAAGCCAATCACTGATTTTTGTCATGAACTCTGCAACACAGCAGTAGTGGTCTGCCACCCAAACAGATCTGTATGCCTTGACCCAACACAGAGCAGGGGGAAGTACTTGTGCTAGTCTGAAAACGGGTTTCCTTTGAGGAGTCCTGTCAACGGGTCTCATCCCTGAAGAGGACTTTGTACGTGCTGAGGCAAAGGCATCGTTAAGTAATTTATGCAAGCCCAACACATGCCCTCCTGCAGGCACATATCTCAGCAAATCCTTTATCAAGCCCTTTATGACAGTGTCGCCCTAGTTGGCTGTTCAGGTCTGGGGGTCACTCACTTTCTTCCGAGTGAGGATTGGCAGGTCTGATTCTGTCCTTTCAGCTACATGTAAGCTGAACACCTTCTCTGATATGTCTATGGGCCTTATTTTTTAAAGAGAGGTAAGAATATAGTTATATTTTCCCATGCTAAAAGTTTTATACAGCAAATATTTGTGCATTGGGATATGACATCACATTTTTACAGTAACCCTGTCTAACAGCTACGGGTTCTTATGTTTCTGAAGAAGAACTGCTTCATTACTTGTGTTTATTTATTGTTGTGTAACCTGCGTAATGTCACTACAGGGCTACAAACTATTCCACAATGCCATCTCTATGCTTTAGCTCCTGGAAAAGCCTAAGACGACATGCTGGAATGATGTACATTTGTAATTCCTTGAGATTTTTGTTTTCACCACAGTCCTAATTCACTCAGACTTTGTTGATGCACAGAGGTAGTGAGGGGTCAGGGGCCTGAATATCGGTGTTGAGGGCACTTTGACATGCCCTAGGGTACCCTGCCTGGCCTCTGGCTGCTCCAGAAGACACAGAGTTCCTGTAGAGTTGTTGCCATACCTGCTGGGCCTGTGCAGGTGCTTGGTTACCCTAGAGCATCTCAGATGGCACTGGATGTCTGTGTTGAGGTGCTTAGATCTCTTCTTTGTGTATTTTCGGCTGTGTTACTTGTTCCATGTGCAGACACTCTAAACTAGAGGTTGTCACTGAAAAGGAAGTGGTCTCCCATGGTCATTTTTGGTCACTTTGTTACAAGTCACTTGCCTCTGTCTTGGTTTTCTGTCTGTAAAATAAGGTTCAGAGTACTTGTTCTTCAAGATTGCTTGCCTCCTTCAACCTCAATGCTTGTCCCCTTTCTCTCTTTCCTAGGGAGAGGGCACTGGGATGAGGACAGTGTCGTTAGCTCACCTGATCCTGGCTCTGCCAGTGAATCAGGCGACCGATACCGTACTGAACAATATCAGAGCAGTCCGCATGAGCCCAGCAAAATTGAAACTCTAATAAGAGCCACCCAGCAAATGATTAAAGAGGAAGAAAACAGACTACAGCTGCGGAAAACGACCCCTGATCCACTGGTCTCCATTAATGGCACAGGGAAGAAGCACTCTATCTGTTTTGCAAACTACCCTCAGCAGCAGTTGGCAGGGGATGTCTGCCGCGTCCCGACAGTTGCTAACACTCCTCCCTGTGAACACATCCAGCAACAAGACGGAAAGATTATGAGCCCACATGAAAATGACTATGACAACAGCCCCACAACACTGTCTAGGATAAGCAGCCCCAATTCTGACCGAATATCAAAATCTAGTTTGGTACTAGCTAAAGACTACCTGCATTCAGACATGTCCCCTCATCAAACCCCAGGGGACCACCCAGCAGCCTCTCCAAATTATTACAGCTCCCACAGGCAGTACTTTGATAAGCATGCTTACACATTAACTGGATATGCCCTGGAGCATCTATATGACACTGAAACCATTAGAAACTATTCACTAGGCTGTAATGGATCACACTTTGATGTGACTTCTCACTTAAGGATGCAGCAAGATCCAGCACAAGGACACAAGGGAACATCCGTTATAATAACCAATGGAAGCTGACACTTTTTTCCTAAAAACTTTTGCTCTTTAAAAAGTAACCTTTGAGATCTAATTGGAAGATATTATATGTTTTCATGCCCTTGTCGTTACCAGCATTTGATATACCACAGTGCACTAGAAAGAATAACCTAAGGTTTAGGAGAATAAGTTAGTTAACACACATTACTTTTAAAAAATAAAAATGCACTGGCATGCAGGGTTAAAGTGAATGGAGCTAAACTCAAAGTTGGTGCCATGCAAGGTGAGAAGGATGGAAGACCTCTAGGCAGGGAGTGCTTGGGGCAGGCTAGCAGAGCAATTTATGCACATTGTGTAAGAGGTGGTTGTTAGGTAATGCTGCCAAAGGCAGACCTTCTGAACTGCATGTGCCCCACAGGTCCCAGCCAACAAAACTGCTATGCACTCTTTTCAAGCAGAAAGTTGGAATGTGTTCCTTCAAAATACACATCAAAATGTGTACTTCTGGTGATCTCTTTATTCTCTAATGGCCAAGTGTGTTTTGCTGCTCCATGGTATAAAGCATCCATGGCTAGCCAATACAAAATCAAAAAGGGGAGAAAGAAGAGGGAACTCCTCAAATTGTTATTTCCTTATGTACTCACATGCATAGCTATTTACATAAGCTTGATTTGAAAGGAGTCAAATGAGCAGTATCCTTATGATTAGTATGATCAAATCTTTACTTCTACTGTATTTAAATGAAAGAGGGTCTTTCTCAGTGTAGTTTTGAGAAATACATAGGGCTTGGTTGTCTTGATGTAGAGATGGGAGATTGTCCTCATATTTTTGAAAGGCTGTACAAGGTGGGTAGTGGAGTGAAATGGAAGAAAATTGTCAGAAGAAACAGGAAGAATAGGCTGGAATTAGGAGTGGTCCAAGATAAACACATTTAACCCTATGGCTATGTATGCCATTTAGTAATAATTTTAAAACAAGGAAAAGTGGTTCTAAGTGGCCAAATAATTAAGAATTAATTTGCAACACAGAAAGATCTTAATAGAATCATAGAAATTTTGCTGTAAAATACAAAGGCAATTGCATAAGTGTAAAAATATGAGAGGCGAGAATAGACAAAAACTGGATGGTGGTTTGTCGTACTTCTGATAAAGTTTTGGAGTAAATTAAGAAAGTATAGAAAATTATAACTACTCTGTCTGACATACAGTAAAGTAATAGGTATGACTTTGAAAAAGAGTTATGCATTCTTTTCTTGCTTGCAGCAGAAAATTTAATGAATATCAGAACACATTGGGTATATCAAAATCAGTCATATGTACACAAAAAAATACTGAGGGAAATCAGGGTTCCAAGAAATTCAATTGTATTAAGAATGCTGATATTATCAGGGCCTGTCGTAGAGTTATAGAAGACATCAAAAGAGGCAGAGAAACTTTTTGCAATTTTTAATAATCTCATGAACAAAGAGACACTAATTGATTGGAAAAGAGTAAATAGAAAACATATGCTAAAAGAAGTAAAATAGGGCATTTGTAGGCAGAATTGCTAGACCTGTCCTTCTTTGTATGGCATTTATGTGAAATCTCAAAGTTGACTGCAATGGGAGCAGGACCACCACTTCCTATTATACCAGTGTGGAGGTAAGGGGACTTGAGGTGGTTACTAAAATGAGATTAGCACTAAGTCTAGCTTCATTTGTAACATTAAGAAGCTCGACATATGGGACTGAGTCATCAATGGGACTAAATATAAACCAGCATGCTATGGGTGGGTTAAAAATATCTATTTTCACATAAAACTAATCAGAAGCAAAAGCTAAATAATAACATTATAAGCCACGTAAGTAGAGATGTACTTGAAAGCAGAGGAAATTACCTCTCTGAACTTGGAATATTGTGTGTAGTCCTGATCACTCCAAGGCAGATTGTGAATCTTGAATTGAGTAGTACCTTACTCCATAAGCAATCTTTGTTGACTGCAGTGTGATCACTCCTGGTGAAATGTACGTTGAACACAAGGAAGAGCAACACAGTCTGGTCTTTATTATCTAAAGCTCATAATAGAAAAGGTGGAGCAGATCTCAGCCAAAGATAAAGAGACTGAAAGATCTAATAAAAACTTTAAATAAACTAGGTCTGTCATCTTTGTAAGGGAAAAGAGTAAAGGGGAATGTCACTGGTGTGCACCAAGCTCTGCACAGAGGAGAGATAAATAATGGTCTAAAACTATTTGAACTAGCGGCAGAAATGAGAGACAGGGCATTGAATGTTAGCCAAGGCAAAATGAGAACAAAATGATTTGGCAAGAAGTTTATTTGACTAACTGCAAAATGAATAACAAAGGTCATAAAGAGAAGCAGCTAGAGATTTTTGTTTGTTTGTTTGTTTGAAGATAAAAACAAGGCAAATAATTGAGGGGAAGAAAAACATTGACAACTGTTAACTCAGAGGAAGGAATGGACCAAAATGGACTTCTTTCAGCCCAACAATTGTATATATTCCTAAAGCATAGGAATGAGAAAGTATTTTTGATAAATCTAGTTCTGGATACATATTTATTTCACTTATTCCTATGAATAATATGAATAAACTTGTATTTGGAGTCTCATTGTACAGTATTAAAATACAATTTGCAAAGCGAATTAGAGTAGAGGTACATGGTATCATATTATCCCTACTAGTACATATGAAAATAAGTCTAAGTGTCAATATTATTTTGTATTACGGAAGAGTTTCCTAAACTGTTTGGATGAATGGGATTTTGTCAGCGCCCAAGTTTCTTGGGATCACCAAGCACTCTTGTTATCAAGCTTTTAATTAGAAGGCAATAGAGTTCTGCAGACCAGCTGCAGTTCCCTGGCTACAAGGGTTCTAATGGCCACAAGTAGTCAGGAAACCATAGTTTGGGCACTGTTGTATTTGCATTCTGACAGGCACTTTTGAAAAACAGAAGACTTGTAAAACAAACAGGCACAATATAAGATGCTTGTACTCTATATGATTTCACCTAGGAAAAAAGCCAGTGTGCTATGCAATAAAAATTCCCCATTCTTATTTACCGTCATCCCAAAAGAAAACTTCCCAAACTGTAGTTATTTATCCTATTTTCAATAGTTCCAGTCCACTACAATGACAAATGCAGCAAAACGCACTGTAATGAATGGAATTTATCAGTAGAGAGGTCTGTACAGGCAGCCACACTGTGCTACAAGCAAAGACTGATGCTCGCTCCCCTCATGGGATTCCAGCAACTGGCAGTCCCTAGCACTTCAGTACAGTCTGCTGGAGATAGATGCCTTTTGTCAGCTAATTTGCCATCCTGCTTCTTTAGATAGCCAGGAATTTCTTATTAATTGACAGAAAGCATTGAATGTTGTAAACATAGACTCCGCATGCTACATGAAAGCAAGTTTGCAATCTTAATTATAGCATATAATATCACTGCATCTCATATTACATGTACTTTTCAATATGCTATAAAGCTTATTTTTTCCATTACATATTTATTTAATTCAAATTTTCATTTAGTATCCTTCAAGGATACCATCTTCTCTTTTTTGTTTCTTCCTTTTCTAAACCAGATAAGATGAGATGAGATATTTTGCAAAATTGAAAAGTGCAAGGCATTTGTACCAAATACATTTCAAATGTATCACACTAGCTAAAGGGTATCACTTTAAATAAGATATATAGGTTGTGTTTTGGAACAAAACCAATATCAATTGCTGTGTTGCATCATTTCTCTAACATAATACTGTTTTGCTATTAACACCAAATTAATATTTTGTAGCTACTCCAAATACAAAGTGACCACAGCTCTTTCAAACCATTTCCTATTGATATCAGTGGATGGTGCGTTATGATTTTGGTGCATTATGGTTTTGGTATACCTCTTTTGTTTAAAGAAACAAAAACCCATCTCTTCTTTACACAAAACTGCACCCCAGGGGCATGGAGTTTGTAATTTTGGACAAATTTGCAAAGCAATTCTTGAATTAGAAGAACCTTACTCAGCAATTTGTCCCATTGACTCAAATGGGAATATTTGTGGAGTAAGGTACTACTTAATATGTGTAAGGGGGAAAAAAGCTGACTTGTGAAGTGGCAATAGGTTTGGGGTTTTTTGTAATTTTTTTTTTTTTTTTAATTTCAAGACGTGGGTATGGAAACTATGGAAGGTAATAGCTATAATGGCTGTGTTTCTATAATAGATGTTATTTATACACGCTTTGAAAAAATGAGTGCATCTCTTTGCACTGAAGAGCCCCAGAAGTATTTGTTAAGCTTTAAATGGCTTTTGTTGATGTGTCTGCAATACTGCCACAGGTTACACAGTGAAATTCTCCTCTTTTAAACTCTTTTAATCACTCTTATCTGAATCTCATTTTTATCTCTGGACATGCAGCATTTATTCATTAATGTCGCTAAGTATGTTAACCACCATATGTTCATTTATATGAACATCCTGAGTGAGTTGGGAAAAAATAAAAGGTTGCAGAGTATTTCTGGAAAAGGCGCAGCCACCCCAGATCAGACTGGCTGTTCCAAAGGTCAGTTAACCTTTCAGTGAAGGAACAAAGCTGCGGCATACGCATTGGTTTCAGACCTTCGGCATACAAAGCTGTATATAATGGGGATTATAGCACACAGTTCTAGGATTAGACCTAGCTATGTCTATTTTAAGGTAGCTATAGTTAATGTTTGGCAGCAAATGGATTCAGGCTCTGGTCTTTCCACGAGTTGCAAGTTTACTTAAAACACCTAAGGGTCTAAAGGCAATACAAGCTTTGTTATTAGGAACAATGGTGGATGAACATGCTTTCCTGTAGGTATGCTGGATTAGCTCCAGACACCTCCACGGCGTGGAGGAGAACCTATTTTATTTTATTTGCAGTTAGTATTGATGGCTAAATATTTCAGCTGTATGAACTGAAGAGGAAAAAAAAAAAACAAACCCAACAAAAACCCCTC